GTACTCACGTAAGAGAATATGAAAGTTTCTGCAGGAAAATTACTAACTCGGCAATCAGAAGAGCTGAAAAGCTGAATTTTTAGGCGGATGCTTCCAGACCACGTGCAATTTAAAAATTTCAAATTCAACTTTCCAAGCACGTGAAGTACCCAAGTACGGGTATGTGAAGGTTTTGGCGGAAAAATTACTAACTCGGTAACCAGAAAAACTGGAAAGCTGAAATTTTACGAGAATGTTGCTTGTCCATGTACAACTTAAGTATTTCAAATTCAGCCTTGAAGTATGCGTGATTCTTGCATACGAGCGCTTAAAGTCTTGACAAAAAAATATCTCACTGAACAACTAGGTTACTTTTAAAGAATGACTGTTAAATGGAAATTGCATATTTACTTTGTAAAAACACATGATCGCACGGGCCCGCCCGGTGCGTTGCAGCCTGGGTCCCTTTACATGAAAGAAAAGATAAAACATAGTCAGCAAGAATCCATGTACTAAACTGTAACGCAGCAGCCAATCGTACTGTTAACAATTTGATTGCTTTACGTTTAACGCAAAATCAAATTATCGCACCGTCAAGCTTGGTGAATTGCTACCTGAGTTGCATTTGCACAAGACACAAAAGCGAACAATAAAAAATATTTTCCAAGGTTTTTCAAGAATTAGCCAAATGCGAGCAATCCAAACCATTTTTTCTAAAAATTTCTCTCTTCCTAACGGGCATTAGCTAAGTTGCTGCTATTCTCTGTCTTCTTACATATATCCCATTTTCAAAGACAGGATTTGCCATTTTCGGTTTTACATGTACTACTTGATAGCGTGCACCTTTCCGCAAGCCGGCTGACGCCGACAAAATAGGACATGCAGTGTGGGATACGACGTCGACGCTACTGGTTTCATTAGCAAGGCAATAACCCAAGCTGGAATGCACCAGGCTAGTCGGTGCAAGCGTGCGCTTTTGCTCAGCTTTTTACGCAACTTTTACTCAGAAGTGAGTGCATTTTGCAGCGAACGATGGCTCTCATCCTCTCTCAATATCTAGTTCCAGTTCCTTTCAGTGCATATAAAAATATGCACTGAAAAGTGAAAATGTTGCTAGAGCGTCTGTTTGTTAAAAAATTCAAATACAAATGAACTGGATGTTAGGAGGGGGGTCATTCACTACAAAATGCACTCGTTTCTGAGTTCGTGGTAAAGTTGAGTATTTCCCAAACCCACTCGCAGGGAGTTTTCCTTCCAGGCCGAATTAAGAACGCACTTCAAAGTAGAATATCCCAACTAAGTTTCAGTTCGCACATTATCCGGTAAGCGAAATAGCCACTTCGCTATGACATCTTTGAAGTTGTTTAAATAGCGGCGCTAGTGCAAATCGGAACTTATTTTAAGTGCACTATTTCCCCAATGAGCGATAAATATTCTGACAAAGTTTCAGCCACTGATTCCATCTAGTTTTCGAGTTAGCACAGTTTCAAATGCAAACTTTGACTTGAACGTACGCGCTGCACAAGCGTGGGCAGTGGCTGAATTTGAAATTTTTAGCTTCATCAAGCATGTAGAATACGCATACAAAGCTTTAGCTTCCGTCTTGCCTGGTTCCCAAAACCGTCTCCAGCCAAAGAAACTTGCATATCTTTTTTCGGGGGTCCAAATGCTAGATCTAGGCACGTATGAGTGAAGATTCTTAATGGGAGGATGACAAAGGGGCGAGAATATGTCCCCAAAATCTCAGTCTTCCAACTTTCCTAGTTGCTGAGTTGAAAGTAGGTGACAAAGTTCAATCGTTTCCGAAAACACACATACAGACCACCTCTCGACAATATGTATTTTTGCTCGCTGTAGTAACGCTATAATGCTGCACAGCAAAAACGCAGAAAAACAAGTAAATACAGCTGTCAAATTAAAGACAAACTACTGACCTAAAGAAATTCATAGCATTTATCAGATAATCTTTGGTAATAGCTGTATGTCCATGCTTTAAATTACGACCGTTCATTGTAACATCCATTCCGTAACGTATGTGCACACCCACGTAAACGTAATCGCGCCCAGCTAAAAATACTCAAGAAAGTTTGTAAATGAGATACTGC